CCAACCCCCCCCGGGTGGGGGGGGGGCGACACACGCAAACAAATGCGAGTAAGCAGTTCCCATCGCAACTCGGTTACCACTGCAAAGGATTTTGTTTGCGAGTTGGGCGACGCACCAACAGCTCAACTGATTTTCATTTCAAGGGGAACGAAATGAGAGTACATTTGCCCTGTGCCAGCGCGAGGCAAATTAATCGACAACTAATCAATTAAGGGAATCGATCATTACCAGATGATCGATTCATCGATGAAAGAGCTTGTTTTTTTTTTTTTACATTTAAAATTGCTTCAGCTTCTCATCAATAAATGTCGGACAATTTCTGCGGTCCTCCACGTACGCACGTTGATCATCTTTGTGTGGAATCAAAACAAAACGTTTGCTTTTACGTTGGAATATCCCGTGATCGACACTTTTGGCTGTTTTCCAACACGTTACTTCACCAAACCGTCATTGAATCATCAATAATTTATTGGCGTATTTTCCGACACTGTCAATTTGAAAAGTCCTGTTTGCGAATAAAGGGATGCAACTTAAAATAGATCACAAATTTAATTTATCGATCATTAAAATAATCGTTAGTTGCAGCCCTACTTTAGATAAGTGCGGAATTTACGAACCTAGCAAGACGAGGAATTTTTCGTCATTTTCTTTGACTCGTGCGCGACTCTTAGTTCAGCCTCTGCTTGATGCGAATCTTTATTTCATTGATCAAACAGGTGACCTGGTTGAAGCGTCCTCACCTTGGGGGCCTCCACTGCGGTGTATGTGGCCCCAGGGGGGACCTGGTAGCCCTCGGTGTACAGTTTAAAATGGTGGATCAAGGACTCCATGGACATCTGGCAAAAAGAAGCACACGTGTCAGCGTCGTGAGGGTCTCCTCCGCTGCGCTTTGCGCTCCGCTCACCTTCATCTCAGACCTCTTGGGCGGAGCCACTTTGGCGTCGTCCACCTTGATCTCGCCTTCGGGCATCTTGTTAAGGGCCTGGTGCATGATCCGCAACGACTGCCTCATCTCCTCCACCCGACACAGATACCTACTCGAGACGAGGTTGAGCCCGAGGAGCGCGAGAGGGGGAAGTAGAGTGCCCCGTCGTTTACACACCGGTCGTAGCAGTCGCCCTTGCTTCCGATCGGGACGTCGAAGTCCACCTCGTCGTACTTGTCGTACGGCTGAGACTTGCGCAAGTCCCACTTGATGCCTGAACCTCTCAGCATCACACCACTGAAGGACGAACGAGGGCATGAAAAGGTCCGCAAAACAGTTGTGCTTAATTATTGTAATACAGTAAATCGCAATATGGAAGGGGGTGGGGGTCGTTCTGCCCTAACCTAAAGCCATAGTTGAGGGCTTCTTCTGCGGTCACCACACCGATGTCCACAGTGCGATTCTTCCAGATGCGATTATTGGTCAACATCTGAAAAAACAAACGGACAGCAAACAGCTTAAAGTTGCCGCCGATGTTGCATCACATCTCCCGAGACGCAAGAACGCACCTCTTCCACCTCGTCGATGCGAATGGAGAAGTTCTTGCACCACTCGTAGATGTCGTCCATCAGGCCCAAGGGAAGATCCTGCGACACGGAGGAAGAGTTCGGCCAATCAGCACTCGGGCACCCGTTTCACTTGGATTAGCTTTGGTTACCTGATGGACACCGCCGGGTCGGATGTAGGCGGCGTGCATTCTGGCTCCGGACACTCGCTCGTAGAACTCAAACATCTAAGAGATGGAAGTCGCAATGTCAAGTGTCTCGACGTGTCAGCCCAAGTGTGTTTTCAGCCGTCACCTTCTCACGTTCCTCGAACATCCAGAAGAACGGCGTCATGGCGCCAATGTCAAGTGCGTGAGTGGTGACAGCCATGATGTGGTTCAGGATGCGGGTCATCTCACCATACAGAACTACCATTTTGCAATCGAGGCGTTATTGGGCTGGAAATTCTACATTAAGGGCCACGAGTCCGTCTTGTAGCGCGTTACCTCTGATCCACTCGGCACGGGGCGGAGCCCTGATGTTGAGCAGCCTTTCTACAGCCAGCGAGTATGCCTCCTCGTTGCACATCATGGAAACATAGTCCAAGCGGTCAAAGTAGGGTAGAGCCTGAGGCAGGAGGAGGAGGTCAGGTGTTTTTTTACTGGTAATGTATTCCTGACATTCCTTGAGTCACACCTGCAGGTATGTCTTGTACTCGATTAGTTTTTCCGTGCCACGGTGAAGCAAGCCAATATGGGGGTCACACTTTTTAACAGACTCGCCGCTGAGCTCCAACACCAGACGCAGCACTCCGTGAGCCGCGGGATGCTGCGGCCCAAAGTTGATGGTCAGGTTGGACACGTCCTTCTCAGCCGGAGGATCCTTGTCTGGACAAACAAACGCAACGCTTAAAAATAGGCAGAGAGCAAACTTGACAATTCAGACGGTGCAAATGCTACCATTCCATGGGGGTGGGGTCCATTTCTCATTCAGAGCAGTGGGGTACATCACTGCACCGGCAAATTGCTCAGTCCACTCCACATCTGGCTGCCACTGCTTCTTCCTAATAAACAATATAATTGTCACGACATTGCAGTAAGGTGAGTAACTGCTCCGCATCTATTTGTACTGGACGTTATGAGGCTGTAATAAGAAACTCGGCACATTTGGCATTCTGCTAACATTAGCTTTTGTGCGTGCATTCTGTTTTGCAGCTCAAATTAACGCGACTGACAGTACGAAGGTGCGTTTGAGGGAACATTTTAAACCTTGCGCCGAATTACCTGCTTTGAAGAACAGCGCAGCAGGGGCTTCCGATGTGACTATTTATTGGATTTAAAATTAATTTTGTTGAAGGACGTCCCAGTTTGGTAAGCGACCTCAACATTGCGGCCGCCATCTTGGTTGTCAGGCCAACTCGGGCGAGTGACGTCAAAGGACGACTTCTTCTCCGGTCATATGCAGCGATGTAGCGCACGCGACTGCTACCAACTGGTCATGCTAATTAGAATCACTACCGTTATTATAATAATTATTTTTAATAATAATAATAATAATGCGCCAGATTGTTAGCAATGTATTATATAATCCATCCATTTTGAAATCAGTTTATTATCACAAAGGCCGCGGGGACTTGCTGGAGCCTACCCCAGCTGTCTTTGGGCATTAGGCAGGGGACACCCTGAACTGCTTGCCAGCCAATCGCAGGGCGTATTATAAAATCTGATCGACTAATAGTCAAAACAATCAAAGACAGAATCCTTTTTATTAAAAAAAAACAGTGCTTTTATTTATGTAATACTGTGGAAAAATAATTACATACATTTTTAAAAAATATTAAAAGTAGAGAAAAAAAACCTGTTTGATAACATATTTTTAACATTTTTTTTCCTGCTACGGAACAGTACAATAACATAAACATTGGGGTTTTCTAAATTCAAAGACACAGTAATACAGGATACAGTCCTACCAGAGGTATAAAAGTACTAGATCGTGAGAGAAATGATACAGACGTATATTGAAACACACACTCACATACACATACGTACATATTGTATACATATGGACATGCATACAACAGTCCCACGCACACATGAGTCAGATGCGGCACGTTTGGAGTATGCATGTATCCATTCACTCATCTATACAAACACACTGTACAAATTGATGTGCGCGCCAATGCCCACACACTCGATCTTGACTTCTGTCTCTGAGGGTCCTCGATCCAGGGGCATTAGGGAATGCTGAGAGGACAGGCCACTGACCCCTCACATGGCACACACACACACACACACACACACACACACACACACACACACACACACACACACACAAAACTACATGTCAATATTGTAGACAGCCTTCATGGAGCCTCTCCATACACATTCTCTTCCGGCCCTTCTGGTAGGCAGACGATGAGAAACGATAATGTTCTCCCGATAAGGCCACTCAGTTCTAAACCCCACGTCTTTGTTGTTCTCACCGTCCGCACCAGTCTTTAAGTTTTAGAGCTCGGGCGAGGGGAAAAAAAAAAAAAGGCCCAAGCTGAGGAAAAAGTCTGACCCAGGGTCCCTCACCTGGTTTATAAAGCAACAGTCGCCAATAGAAGGAGCTTCTACTGCATCTACTGTACATGATCTACGGTGAAGAACAATACACTTGGCACTAGGTTTCTTTTATACACTGGTATACCCTTTTTGATGGCACAGTTCTTCCAACTTTTGGTCCATACATACACATCATTTCATGTTTTACATTGACAAAAATAATTCTGTAATGTTAAAAAATAGAATACAAAGCTCTAGTCATGTGTGCAAATTAAAAAGACGACAGATATAGATGAGAGACGTCCAAGCGTGAATACTGATGGTGCAGTGCAAAAGGATGATGACCTTCCTACGAACAATCACTTTCCGATGGCTAATAAGTCGGGATAGGTGAGCACCGATTCCAGGTATCTGCATCGCGCCGACACCGGCCTTATTTCAAAGTATTGGGTACTTTTCAAGGATGCTGAGACCAAAAACCGATATTTAAAACAAAAAAATAACATCCGACATTGAGTCCGTTTTCCTTGACAATAGTTGGTGCTACAATGCGGCCGTTTGACACGTTGGCGAATCATACTGAGCATCATAAAGACAGAAAGGTATTTGCAGAATTATGTCATTGTTTTAATTGAAATTAAATGGATCATAAGTATTAGCACGAGGTTGGAAATCTTTTTATTTTTCCTTTGAGGAGCAACTACCTAATTTTGTGGAGCAACTTTTTTGCAGGTTAATCGCAGTATAGCATTCAATTTTCCTGTCGAGAAGCAAAGCCAAATTGATTCAAGAAAACATAAGATCTGCTGTAATTTTGTAAATATTTACTGCGCAGACCTCAAAAGTCGAAATCAAAACTCAGGACTCCATCGTGAAAACAAATAAATGACATGATTGATATCATATAGATTTGATACTATTCGTCCTTGCTGAAGTACACTGTAACTGAACATTTCTGGTTCTGGTTCTTTTTTAGCGAGTACGATTCTCTCTTGAGAGTTTCGACACTTATTAATTTGTTTGCTGTTCAAAGTTGGATGTTCTCCGCTTTAATGCAGTTCCAGCCAGATGTCTGAGAAAAGTGAACTCAATTACCCATGTCCCTAATTCTGGTGTTAAACGTGCTAACCGTGTCAATCTTGGGTTATTTTAGCAATTTAGCTTCGCCGTCTTTTCTCAACATCCCTTCGTGAGAATGATACTTGTCAGAAATGTAGTTTCTTATTTGCCACCATGGTGGCAATGATCACCGATATAGGAGCGACTCCGCAACGTGTTTTGGCGCACTAGTAGCTAGCCGACGCTCGTTGCTAGCTTCCCGCTGCGGCGTTAGCGGCGCAGAATTTCCCTCGACTTCCGACGACTACGTGAGCCCAGTGAAGCTTTTTGGGACCGTCTCGACGGTCGATTCTAAGTTTTGCAATTCAATGTGTTTTGATGAGGCGCAAAATGAAAAATTTTCCTCGCAAATCGTGACATGTAACCGCTTATTTCGAGCCTTGTAGTTGGATTGGTACTTGGTATCGATTAGTACTCAAGAAGGGTAGTACTGGTAGTGGTCTGGAAAAAAAAAAAAAAAAGTGATTGAACATCACTACGAATAAGTATGAGAGGAAAAGCTGAAAGTAAAATAACAGCCAGAAATGACTCCCAATGTCTGAGGTTTTGCCCAATCACATGTACCATATCAGACGTTGATCTCGTTGCGCTTCCACCAGGGTTCACAACCCTGTTCGTTCTTCTTGGCAACTGGCCACATTGACTGCCAATCAATCGAAGGCAGTTGGTCTCGCCTTTTAGGTGTGCTGCTTCGTGGAAACATGGCTCGAGGCGCCGTCTGGCATTGGAAACCAAAGTGGCTCCAAAGTCTCCGCGTTGTGGCTGGTTCCTCGTCATCCCCGGTGTGATTGTGACTCGCGCCGTCTGCTCTCTCCCAGCTCCCGTTTGCTAACACGGTGGCCAACGTGCAGTCTTTTGTCTCCGTTTTTCGGGCACGCTCCTCTATAACTGTGCATGTGCCGTATCTGTTCACTGCGGCCTGTCGGTGTGTGCGTGTAAATATGTGTGTGTTGGTTTTAGCTGCAATGCTATGCCTAAGACACTCCTCGTGCTGCTAGGTCGCTTTCACACGTGAGTCTGCATCCTCTGTGTGTGTCGGCTGTGGGAATAGTCGGAATGTTGCGACGTGTAGGAGAAGCGAGTGGAGCTGCCGTACTTCCCGAGTCCCGTGTCCGAGCCCGCGGGCGTGGCACCGCCGGGACCCACGCCGACCCCCGATCCCACCCCGTACATCTCATACGAGGGCCCGGCCTCCAGCGGGGCCAGGCTGGATGGGGCGAAACCCATCCGATAGGTCTGGTAGTGCGACGGGTAGCCGTAGTTCTCGTACGCTAGCTGGGAGGTGGAGTCCAGGAGGCTGCAGTCGCCTGGGAAGTCGGCCGCTGCGGGGGCCGGGTTGCTGGGCGCCTGCTGGCTCTGGGCTCCGCGGGTGAAAGTGTTGAACTGGGCGTAGCTGATGTGGGACAGTCTGGAAGGGGGGCGAGGGTCGTAGCAGGCCTGGGGCCGGCCCGGGGATGTGAGGGGGCCAGGTGGGCCGGGGGCTCCGCCGCTGGCCGTGGCCCCCGAACCGCCCGCGCTGCTGCCGCTGATGGATGCGGCCCCCCCGGGGGTACCGGTGGGGGAGCGGTAGTCGGAGTAGTGCATGGTGGAGCGGGAGGCGGGGCGGCCCTCGTCAAGCGTGGAAGCTCGTACGTTGTAGTAGCCGTTGGTGGGATCCTTGGAGAACACAAATCAAAATTGGTTCTCGAATGAAGTACAACCACGTCAGTCATCAAAATCTGCAGAGAGCAATAAGCTGCCTTCGAGTGATGCCCTTCGTACCGTAGTGGTATAAGCACTTTTTCTATCTTGTTAGGTTAGCTGACATTTTTTTCTGGCGAGGAAATGTTTCAGGTGGTCAGAGATAGCATGAATGAGAGAAGCTAGCTCTTGTCCTGTGCATGGATTAGTATTAAAGCCAAGGTACCAGTGACGAGTGGCAATCATAGTTCCCTTTTCGAGAGAGGGGAACAGCCAAACGGGGATTTTTAGTGTCAGATGATCAAAGTATTCCAATTTACTCCAGAAACAAAAAATGCATCCTGTTAACGTGTAGGTCGAGGTGCTACTGTATCAAAACGAGCTGTGTTGCCCCAGAAATTTGGAAGGTTACAATGATGGTTTGATTGTTTGGTCACAGACTTGACCAAAAAGTGTTATGTTTCCCCTTCATAGAAATCGTATTACAATGTGCAAAATGTGTCTTCTTTGGCCAGGGGCTCAGCAGCCCTAAACTTCTGGTCCTAGAACCGCCCCTGGATCAGATCCTTGCTCTGGTCCAAGTGCATGAATCAGAGTGGAATCTGGCCAACAAACTGGGTGCAGGAATACTGACTATTCCTGACATGAATCTTCCATCCCGTCATCTCTCACGAAACCAGACGCCTCACTCGGCCATTGTTTCGCAGCGCTGGTGCTTCAGGCAGCGGAGGGAGGGGGTGTGTGGGTGGGTGGGTGTTGGGGGAGAAGGGGCAAAAGAATCCCGGCTGTTGTCGGGGTGATCTAATCACCTCTCAGGGTGGATTCACGTCCGCGTTCCTTTAAAATGATCCGACTGGTCCTCCGACTGGAGGCCCGGCAGTGCGCGGGGCCACATTTTGACAGCTACATGAAAATCAAGTCGTTTCATTACCTCGGTCCGAGCCCGAAGGGTCAGAATGCAGAAAATATGCACGTCGGCTTGACTTGTCTTCAGACTCGGTCTTGTGATTCATGACAAGTTGCGCTTGGCATGGGTGTAAAATAAACGAGGAGCACTCACCTTCAGGTCGTACTCCTGGCGGGTGTCCAGGGTGTCGCTGCGCAGGTCCGACTTGAGCTCGATGTCGTCCTTAAAGGGCTGATTGGAGGGAGAGAAGGACACAGAGGGGAGAAACTAAACGGTCAAAGAGGAGAACCAAACCAAAAAGGAGATGAGGAAGTGAGGGAAGGATGCAACGAAATGTGACACAAAAGAAGACAATGGAATTAAAGGTGTTAATAAAGGAGCACTCACGGTGAGGCGAGGTCACTCACTCAAACACACACACACACACACACACACACACACACACACACACACACACACACACACACACACACACACACACACACACACGGACAGCTCACCGAGTACATGGCCTTGACCATGCGCGAGGCCGTGGACACGCTGCCCGAGTCTTCCTCCAAGCTGTGGCTCTCCTTGTTTATCGTTTCCACCTTAATGTCCGGCTTTCCCAGTGTGACTCCTCGCCGACCTGGAAGCAAGCACAACATGCCAGCGTCACGCACACACACACACGCACACACACAAGCTGCATGCTTTGAAAAGTGCAATCCAGCAGGGTCCCCCCCCCCATCCATCCAAAGGAGTTTATTTGTACTGTATAGACTAAACCAGGGGTGCGATCACCCTGTAGCGCGCGAACTGGTCCCAAGTCGATCGCGAGATGTGTAGGGGGAAATGAAAAAAAAAAAAAGATTTGTGTGTCTGTGTGCGTGTTATTAACATGATATATTTTTGCGTTAGTGCACACTGCACCCTAAGCATCCTGTCAGTTGAAAAAAAGCAGGGCACCTTGGACCTACGGTGGCGCATGATCTGCATCACCCGAAGTTGTTAGCGGTCAGCAGTCTGCAATTGCAGCTTGCGATCAGAGCTGTTGCGATATATTTTTTGAATTATTATTCTTCTCATTTAAAGTTTGGTTCATGTACTATTCACCGATGGTACTGGCAAAAAATGTGAATCTGGAGCGTATACTCGTGCGGATAATAGTTTCTGCACCTAACAGGCCTCTGCGTCTACCAAGGTAGGCGGGATTTCCTTTTCAGCAACTCACAATCTATTGTATCGACTTTATTTTTCAGTTTCGTTCACATTCGGGGCCGTTATGGCTGTTGTTCATACTGGCATGTGTGTGTATGCGTGCACGTGCGGTATCGGGTTGATCGCGGGACGCTGATTGCTTGAAAAGTAGATCTTCAGTCAAAAAAGCTTGGGCACACCTGTCCCAAACCATTATTGCTGTGTTGCAGGGGTGGACTCTTATAGTTTGTTTTTGTTTTCGCTAAGCCGAGGAGTTGAGGTTTTCTTTCGAGTTTGTTTAACGATGACAACAAGCGCCATATGTTGTGCCGGCTGATGGCGTGACTCACTGCCTTTGCGTTGCCGGTAGAAGATGAGTACGAGGACCAGGAGGAAGATGAACAAGAGGATGGTGGAGCCCACCGTGCCACCGGCTATTATCCCCACTGGGACCTCCTCTGAAATCACACCAAGTTCAGGTTCGTCAGCATGATTTTCAGTTCGTAATGGCTTTGGAGACTTACACTTTATGTATTAATATTGCGATTGCAATTTCATATGTGATTATCTTTTCAAGGTTCTCCTTCCATGTATTTTTTTTCTTTAACAGAGGCATTAAATGAATCTGCATTACAATAAAGAGTAACAGATTTATTATCCAACATACCGGTCTCCTCCAGGGTGATGATCATGGTGCCGGGCCCAAAGGAGTTGGAGGCCGTGCAGTTGTACGAGGTCAAGAAGTCAGACTCCATCACGTTGTTGATGGTGAGGGTGGAGAGGACGCCGCCTCCCTCGGCCGACGTTCTGCTTTGCTCCACCGTGTAGCGCTCCAGAAGTGTGCCCTTCTCCTCCTCCCACACGTTCTCCTTCCACGCCCACACCTGCGCACCATCCCATACTCGGTTTATGTGTCGGCGAAGCAGGGAGGCAAAATATCACCCGGTATTTGCCCATTTCATCATGAGTACCTATAACCTCTTCATCTAATGACATGCATGCACAAGTCACAAATATATTCACACGGCACGCAGAGGGGCAAGCTTGGGGTGAGGGGACATGCGCATGTCCTCCATCTTTAAAGCCACTAAAAGCAGCTGTATTATTCAGCATATACCGTACCGAGGCCTGTTAATTATGCATAAGCCCACATGTTCCCATAATGTGCCCACTTGTTCCGGAGAAGGAGATTCTCCCGGCACTGGCGTTTACTGGGACAACTGTTCCTCCCGCCGTCCTTTTATATTTTATAAATCTTTTCATGTCCCAAGCTGCGCCGGCCGCATTAGGGGAGCGCACCGCCAGTCAGGACGCATCCGTCAAGGAACCGCGACGCCCGTGTGATGCAGCTGAGCGGAGAAAGCATCCGGGACGCTTTTCTGACCGCATGAGCTAAAAGTGGTCCTGCCTTAATGTTGGTTTGTTGATGTGTGGGACGGAGGAGAGATATATATATATATATATATATATATATATATATATATATATACACACACACACACACACACACAGGTATGTGTCCAATGTTAAACTTATTTCTGTAGCCCTTAATCACAAGTGCGTCACAGGCCCACGGCATCCCCTGATTTTAACCCCCTGGGAGTGCAAGGATTAACAAATATATATGAATAACATTGGACCCAGCATTGACCCCTGCGGGACGCCATACATGTTGTCCATAGCATTGGGATTCAAATCCATTTTTTTTTTCTTTCCCGCAGAAGAAAGGACAGTGCCAAAAAGCAAGAGCGTGTTATGGTTGAAGATGTCACTTTGTAGGGCACAGACATCCCCCGAAGCCAAACAATCTGGATTTGGATCAGCACCAAAGTGTTCACCTTCACCCCTTGCAAATGGGTTCTTTGTGCATGCGTCGGTTGGGTCAGTATCACGATAAAGTGCCTTTGGTTTCCTCATCCGGAATGCAGTTTAAAGAAACAAACCGTAGTAGCAGTCATCAAGACCAGGAATGGGAATCGTTTTGTACTTTAAATGTGCTGTCAATGGTTCTCGCAAATAAATGAATAAACAAATAAAATGTTGTTTGTATACTTTTATATTATTAGACCACTCTTCGGTTCTGAGGATGTGTTGCGGCATACATTGCTGAACTTCTTCCTTCATGAGGTAGTTCATTATCCTTGAGGTGTGTTTACATTACCGGCAGTTCATTGAATGTATTTCTTAATTAAAGTTCTTAACCCGAATCTGTGACTGACAGCATCTTTGTGTTCTTCTTCACAACTGGAGATAAACAGGCAGAAGTCCTACGAAGTGATGTCTGCCATCTAGTGGTGAACTGTGTCATAACAAGTGATGTTGGACGCTTTTTTTTTTTGTAATGTTGCCCATCCCTGAAAGAGACAGTGCCCTATGGTACTTAAGTGCCTTCATAAGGGTACAAATATCTACCCTTTGCGTGACAGTGTAGATTTTATTAAAAGTGACCAATATGACTTCACATAACAGGTATGAAGTTTAATGGATAATTTGAATTTCTGGGCGAGGAAATTGGGAGGTCCCAAAAGCACCTTGCGTGCATCACCGAGTGGTGTTTTCCGAAGACGAATTTGGAAGGTTGTCAATCAAGTTGAGCGCGACTTACAATCTTATCAGGAGGAGGTGTGCTCGCAATGTAGCATTTCACTTCGCCGCGCTCCCCTCGCACTGCATACTGGATGGGCTCGCTGGAAATGATGGGTGGGCCTGTGCAAGGGGAGGAGAAAGATAGAAATTGTAATCCCCCCCGCCCAAAAAAAAGACTGATTTGCACTTTAAAATGCTTTTTGCTTCCTGACCGTTAACAGTGAGGGCGACCTCGGTCTCTCCGACCCCGATTCGCGGTACGATGGCCTTGCATACGTACTGGCCCGCGTCGGCCTGGCTCACCGACTTCAGATACAGTTGGTTGCCGTTACTCAGGACCTGTGTGCGAGAGGATGTCAGATTCAAAGGCAATACCAAATATATTTATTTCACATTATTTGTCCGGAAGTGGAAACTATACAGTTGAAGAGTTGAGCATGACTTCTTCTTACCATGTTGGAACCTTTCTTGAACCAAGTGAGAGTGAGCGGAGGGTTCCCGGCCCATTTGCAGTTGAGGGTGACGTCAGAGTCGACGTCCACCGTTTTGGGCTGGGGCTCCACCAAGAGAATGGGACCGACTAGAGAAGGGAAAACATGAGTCGGAAAGGGAGGTCGTGGACAGAGGGCCCAGAGTAAGCAAGTCTAAGCGGACCCCGCTGAGACACTCACAGTGAACGTCCACAAGGATGCTGACGTTGGTCTTCCCCACGGCGTTGAAGACCAAGCATGAGACCGGTTCGGTGAAGAAGGAGTGGTCCGCCTTGGTGGTGAACACACTCTCCCTGGCACCCTGTAGCACCACGCCACCCTTGGCCCACCTGAGGAAGAGAGCGAGCGACCAGTTTTACCAGTACTACTTTCAATCGCTTCCTTTGTCAAAATAGGTTTGTTAGTTTTCTTCATACACCTCAGATGTTGACACCACGTAAAAAAAGACCTAAATAGGAACGGGTAAACTCAACCGCGGTTGAGATTTCCTTACAGCATGTTGTCATGAAGTCATTTGTTTTTGTTTTTTGAGCACATTGGTTTGATCGTATATAAGCCTGAGCCAACGCTAGCTAGCACAAAGATATTTGTGATTTATGATTGACAGTTTAAATTGTAATTTTTTACGCTAGTACTTAAGTTTCAGAGTCTGAGTAGTTGAATCAGTATTTCTACTTATATTAAAGCCATTTTTACAGTCAGTTTGGTAGCATAAAAGCCTGAACCAACACTAGCTACCTAGCTAGTTAGTTAGCACGCCGATATTTTATGTGATTGGTGATTCAAATTCGCTAGTACTTAAGTTTCAGAGTCTGAGTAGTTGAATCAGTATTTCTACTTATACTAAAGCCTTTTTTACAGTCATTTTGGTCGCACAAAAGCCTGAACCAACACTAGCTACCTAGCTAGCTAGTTAGTTAGCACGCTGATATTTTATGTGATTGGTGATTCAAAAATGAATGTGTAGTTTTTACTTTTTTAATTAGGTGCATTTCAGAGCCGAAGTAAAGGTGTTCAATCAGTGTTTGTACTTAGACTAATGTTTTTTTTTTGTTTTTGTTTTTTTACAGTCACCATACTTAAGTACATAAGATCTGCTGTTGACCAGATCATGGTTCGGCACTCATATACGCGAAAAAGGCACTGACCTGTAGCCCATAATTGGGGGGTTGGCATGGGCCTGACAGGTGAAGGTGACCCTGTCACCCTCCACGACCGAGCGAGGTTCGATGGACAAAGTCACAGTTGGTGGATCTGTGAGACACAGATGGCAAAATTAAATCCAAAAGTCATATTCACTGCTTGGCTGAATATCAGCCACACCACAAATTGCTGAAGGGACTGTTAGTGTGCTTACGGTGCACATTGAGGGTAACAGTTGTGCTCTTGCCCACTGGGGCCGCCAGGTTGGAAGCCACGCAGCTGTAGTTCCTCCCCGTGTCTGTGTCGATGGGGTGGATGGGAAGGAAGCTGCGCGTGGTCACCCTCTTGCGGTCTGGAAGAACCTCCTGAGGTCATTACAGAGTGGGTTAAAAATGACATACGTGTGTATGACATGACGTGTGTGAACGTGTGTGTGTGTGTTTTTGTTTTGAATTGGGACTCACAGTGGCACTGACGGCCCCATCTATAGGCAGTCCATCTTTAAGCCACTCGATCATGGAGGGCGGTTTCGCACCCCGAGACACGCAGCTGAGGTTGTAGGACTCCCCCGCGTTGAGCAAAACCTCTGGACCGCCGTCGATCACCGGGTCATCTGGTGGGACTGCGGGTAGGATTTGGAAAAACAAATTGACGTTATGGCTCTCCAGATAATATGAAAAAAACAATACTGGTAAAACCGTGCACATAAAATATATGAGAAGAATAAGTACTGAGAACGGTGAGCTTGGCCCTCCTGGACCTCAAGGCGGCGTCAGGGGCCTGGCACTCGTACAAGGAATCGTCAGACAGGTCAGCCGACAGGATCTCAAGGTTGTACTGGCCCAGTTCCTGGACCCGCAGTACTCGATACCTAGGCCAGGCTGGGAAAAACACACAGAGTGAGCCGCCTTGCTCACCTCAAATCCTTGAACATGGTTCACTTTTAGCCAATGGCAAGTTAAATAAGATTTCACAAGGAGAACGGGATGCTTTGCTACACTGCACATTTTGTCAAATCTAACCAAGATGAAATATTTCAACTCAAAGCAAAATATTCTTGTTCTTTGTCTGCTGAGACATTTCTTTCTTCTTCTTGTGAAATCGCATTTTAGCTCATCCCATGTCTTTTCCATGCAGTGACAATGAGGCGCTCTAAAGCGGCAACAGTCGTCTGAAGCCCTGTTCCACATGCTGACTGTTAAGTCGGACCCCTCCTCCCCCCAACCCCCCTTATGGCTTCTCTCCTTGACATGCGTGCGCTCACAGTGTACAATAAGGCGCTCTTAATCGACCACGCCAGTGGACTATGTGGACTAGTCACTTTAGAGGGTCTTTAAATTAAGCAGAAATAATCCTTATTTCATTACTTTTTTATTTCAGCCCCGTCTTTGAAATGTGAGAAGCACAAACAAGCACACATTGCGCCATCACACCATCACTTGCCCCCCATTGCACAAAATCCACTACCCCCGCCCCTCCCCTCATCCGCCAGCTGTGCCTCTGCTGCACATTCTCACCAAGAGGTGGCATTGACGCGCTCGGTCACCAAGCAGTAATGTATTTATTTACTCTTTTTGGAGCACTGCAACTGACTCCATGGCGTGGTGCACACAATTTGCTGCTCAGACGGCGGCGGTGCGTGAGACGGTGCGAGAGCCAGAGTTGGGCCTAGCTGTTCGGCTGCTTGCCTCCTAACCTTGTGTGTCCTTGCTTGCGCTCGCACATGCATTTGCATGTAGAATGTGGAGGGCAAGACAGCCTATGAAAAGCCCAGAGAAGCCACAACTGCGCAAACACAAGTCTGTTTTATGCACAAAAACTCCAGAGGTGGTCGTGTGTTATAATCTAGTATATCACATTCGACAAATATTCTTTATTGTGGCTGAATGTGCTCTGCCTATTTGGATGTTTTCTAGGCGTTCTCTGAAAAACTACAACTAGCGGTCATAGTGTATTTTGTTTTCGTTGCAATTTCTGTTTGAAAACAAGGTGCTCCGATAACATTGCCATCGATGTGAACACAATTTTAACGTTCAAAGACGAGTGTTTCTAAATACATTCAACATGGTTGGCGTCGCTGCTTTAGAGTGCCTCGTTGTCGCCCATGAGTGTGTGCATGTCATGGAAAGCCTGAGGGGAATTTTTCATCTAAAGTGACAGCCATCATGTGGCAGGGGCTTGCATTAGAGCGCTTCGTTGTCAGCTGTGAGTGCATGCACGTCATGCAAACAAAGGTGAAAAGGGCGAGGAGTGGGGAGGGAAATAAGTCTCACTTGTCAGCCGGTGTGTGTACCAAGGCTTTGTGCTGGCGTGGCCGTATTAGAGTGCCTCATTGTCAGCTGTAAGTGTACGCTTGTCAAAAAGACCAAGGTGAAAGAGTGAGGGTTGGGGATTTTTTTTTTTTCAGGCTGGCTTGGGTGCTTTAGAACGCCTTATTGCAGAGTGGCATAAGCGTGTTAGTGTAAGAAAGAGTAAGAAAGGTATGGTATTTTATTGTTGAAAGTTGAAAGTTTATCAGGGCGTGACTTAAGTGCATTCAGTGTAGAGAGTGTCTTCATTTTTTCATGATTTAAAGCCTGCTTTTATAAAATAGCCAATTTGTTATTTTTTTTAATCATATGAGTTTTTCAGGATTGTTAACAACACTGATGTCTGTGGTGTGTCAAATTTTCAAGACATTTATTTTCACTTTACAGGGAGATTCATGTCGTGGAACTTTGACATAAAAAAAAAAAAATGTCCTGGAAATTTGATGTTAAAAAGAAAATAAAAAAGAAGGAAGCAGCGTGAGCCTAATCAGGGTGACTTTCAAAAGTACATAAAAATGGGTTTGGGCCAGATGCGACACTTCTCCGTGGACTTTTTATGTGCGCGAGGTTTATGTCTCTGCAATCGAGTTGATTGAGTGCCCTAAAGGTCCCGAGAGCGCCTCGGCTTCCAAACGATTTTGCAGCTTTACGAGAGCCTTCCCATTTACATGCGGCCGGCGCACAAGACGCTCGACGTCTCACCCCGCAGGTCCTCGCCGATGCCCAGCGCCAGGCCATCTTTGGTCCACTGAACGATGCCCGAGTAGTTGAAGACGACACAGGAAAGGATCACTCTCTGGCCCCGCACCACCGACTGGTCTGCCGGCTCCTGGGAGAACCTCGCGGTCCACACTTGAAAAGAGGAGGAGAAAAAAACGAGAGTGAGTCGTCAAGGATGGCAGACGAGCAACGCAACCTCCTTCAAGGAAACGCACGTTTCGCCCGCGGTTTTATTTCAGGCTAATTGACCACGCTGGAATGGAATGTCATGATTGCCATCTTTGATCACGCGCTGACTTTCGGCCATTTTGCGAGGAAATCACTTAGCAGAAGGAGGACGAAGCGTCTCGAGCTGACTCAGTCAAGAAGATATCAAAAGGCAATTTCGGCCTTGGGTCTCGCTCTCATCCCCATTTTCCTTATTCCGTCCAAAGTCTCGGGAGCCCTCCCACCCTCGTGCGCCTCCATCCCCCCCCGCCTCCCCGACCTCACCCCCTCTTGCTCATTCCTCCCTGTGAGTCATCTCGCAGGCTTCCCAAGCTACAGTGGCCATCATTGTGTGCTCGCCCGGACCCCACTATTATGCCCCGGCAGATGAAGCAGTGCGGTGCTGCTTCGCGGTGACCGCCTCATGTGGAAAATGGAGCAAATTAAGAAGAAAAAAAAGAAG